TACCTGCTTAGTGAATTTGGAACTGTGGCAGTTAGCTCACCCTCTGCTGTGGATCCCAAACCCAGTATGGTCTCAGGTGGCCTTGCTACCAGCGTCCCAGCTCTCCTTCCCCCTGCCAAGTTCCCTCGGACTTAATTTGCCATAGTGACCAAGTACAAGCCAGAAATTCAGTTCCCTCAGAAAGCACCCATATGTGTACCAGTCTTCAGACACATGCACTTATTAAACCTTTCCCCAGAAACCAAGTGACATAGGAAAATAATGGCTTTTTTCATTCCTGATTAGAGCAGGAATTTGAACTATCAACCTACCCATAGCAAGGACTGTAATCTGGGACTTACTCCCAAGCCACCTATTTTTTTTAAGACTTTGAGAACCTGACAAACTCAAAGTATTTTATTTTATTTATTTATTTATTTTTTATTTGGCCTCTTAAAAGCTGCATGTGCTCTCCTCAGGACCTGATAGAGAAGAATTTATTGTAAATCTGCACAGATACATCACAGCATCTAGAGATACAATGGAGCCCATTTGAGCTGTGAGATAAACAGAGGGGAAGGATGCACTGTCTTGTATTTAACCATTGAAAATGACCCAGAAAGGGCTGTTTTGCTAAAAGCAGGTAAGGGACCAGCCTCTGATGTCATTGCAAACTGCTGTATCCAAAATTGTTCTGGCGACATCACAAAGTGAATACAGAGCCCAAAGACAAACATTTTCTCCGAATCAGCAACAGTTGCTCTGTTCTGGAAGGCTTCCAAATTTAACCTTCATTCATTAGGAAAAAAATAAAATAGACTGAGAATAGTTCAGGAGAAAGAGCAACAACCACAACGTTTAGAGAAAGGATAAAAGGTATAAGAAACTAAGGGGGCAATCAGAAAGCAGGAAGCTTGAGGTAATATTTTAGGCTGAACAGAGTTTAAAAAAATGATTAGAAAAAAGGTATTACAGAGATGGAACATTTCTACTTATTTCCTCACTGAAGAGCAGAATTCAGGTGAAATAATTTTTGTAAACAAAGGTGGCCAGATATAATTTTTAAACCACTGTACAAAAGCAGGATATGGCTCTACACTATTCACAATAAATCAACCAGATGTTATTGAGTTCCATGGAAAAACTGTATGGATGAAATTCATGGCTTTGTGTAGCAGGTTGATCTAAAAGATTGGAACTGATCATTCTGGCATTAAAATCCATGAAGCCATAACCTCTGTGTCATGACTCAAGCTGCTCAGGTGGCAAATGTACAAATCAAATCCTTTGGCAGCAATACCAGACTGTTGTAACAGCACAACTGTGCTGTGAGTCAGATCAGGGAATTAAACCGGATTAAAAATATTATTGCCAAGGTAAAAGAAAAATAAAACAAAAAAACAACTTTTAAAAAAATATGATTTAGTTCCACAGTCCAGTTTATACATGACTCAGGGCATGATGCAAAAAGTAGTAACCCAGAAAGGAGCAGTAAGGAAAGCAGAATGTTTTAAATTGTGATTGCCCCCAAAGATTTTATATCATGAAATTGCTGTCTAAAAATACAGCTGCTGTACCAAGACACAAAAGGAGAATTTGCTTTCAAGTGGCTGCTAAGTCTAATGATGGTGCCTTGAATATAGTAAAAAATTTGTGTTCCTTTCCTGGATTGACAATATCCTTAGACAGCCAGTATATCAGCAACTTTGAACCCCTGCAAAAACTGATTAGAAAAATGGAGGCTTGATGCAGGCAGGATATTAGGATTGAATGCTACAGTTTTCATTTTTGAAGCTCATCACATGCATTAGCGACATGAGTAACCTTGGCTGAAATTGGCTGTATTATTTTTCAGAAAGGGTGGTCAGGCACTGGAATGGACTGCCCAGGGAGGTGGTGGAATCACCAACCCTGGGGGTGTTCAAAGAAAGACTGGATGTTGTGTTGAGGGACATGGTTTAGTAGGAGCTATTGGGAATAGGTGAACGGTTGGACTGGGTGATCTTTTAGGTCTTTTCCAACCTTGGTGATTCTATGATTCTATGATTCTATGAAAGCATCTGAAAGCAGGACTACAAGAACACAAACCATTACAGGTTGAGCACACAGTACTTCAGACTGGTTTTATGAAATGCAGTAGTTTGTATGATCACACAGACTGCCTGTCTGTGAGTGCACCTATTTCCCTGATCCATTTGCAGTTTTGGAAGGTGCTGCTCAGCTTCAAGCAAACTAGTCAGACCAACAACTCTTAACAGAATGACACTCCGAGGAATGGGAACCATGCTTGGAGACAACCGGAGTTAGCGCAGTAATGAGGGGAAGCAGATGAAGAGAGGTGTTAGAAAAACAAATTCTGTATTATTTCTCAAGTACTAAATTTTTGCAGCTATGAACACTGCGGAAAAACCCATACAGGCTTAAATATTTTCATATCTAAAGATCAGTAAGCATTGAGTGATGTGGTGTCACATATTGAGTATTAAAGTGAAATATTCGACATGTGAGATGCAGATCTCTTGGATCTTAATCTTTCACCTGCTGTACCAATACATTTATATGTAGTCATGTAAATCCCTGAAATAAACTAATCAGACTTCAGCTTAATGTGAGTTTATTTCTCGGCCTGTCTCTTGCTCCTCCTGAATAGCCCTGATTACCTTGATCGTGATGTGTCTGGGGCTGTCAGTGGACCCTGATGCCAGCTCCCTGCTACCCACACTGTGCTCAGCGAGAGCACAATCTCTGCTATGGTCACCCTGTAGCTCCACATCCCTTCACGTCCTTGCTTTTCTGTGATAATCATACAATCATCATCACCTTGGACTTCAACCCTGCTTTCTAGAAGAAATTAAAACACGAGTGTAGTACCCCCTAAATCTGTATTTCTTTGTTCTCTCTACCATGATTTGATCATCTTTGAATTCCAGTGAGATCCTGAGGTCTTGTGTTGTGCACAGAGCACAACCTGCTTTGTGGACTCACCTGAGAGCTGACAGCTTATTTCAGCAGGGAATAGCAGTAAGAGACATGCCTGCAGCTGTGGTGTTGAGTCTGATTCTCACATTCTTCTTTCCCTGAGCAGATATCCCATTTCCTATTTATCTGACATTTTCCTACATATCATTCTTGTTCCTTCCTGGACTTCAATCCCTGGCTACCTTTCCTATCTCTTCCTCACTAAAAGAACAAATTGTTTCTCTTGTTTCTTACTGCTGCCACTTCTATCCTTATTTCACCTCTTGTGTAAGTTTAAGAGGTCTCTTCACAGCTTGATATCTCTCCCATTAACTAGTCCTTTAGTCATAGCCACTTAGATCCATGAATCACCTTTCTTGTCTGAGAAACAACTCAGCTTTCTACTTGTTTTTCTCTCTTCCTTTGATCCCATTTCTGTATTTTAGTGTCACTTCCTGTTGCACTCTCCTCTTAGCTATTTTCTCTTAAGAATGCAGTCTCCTAGATGATTCTCATTGACTAAACTTTCCTATTTGCTCTGAATAATTGTTCATGAGTGTTCACACCATCTGTGCTGTGCACTGTAAGCACAGGGTCCTGTGGAATAATGAATATTTGATCATGTCATTCAAGGCTAAAACAAAATTGCATAGTTTAATTCTGCCATTTCCCAGCTGTACAATCTCTATTTCTCTCATGCTTTTTTTTTTTTTCCTTTTTCATATAGAATAAATGTTTATTTTGTATACCTATTTCTCTCTTTTTAAGTGACCTTTCAGTGTATTTCATTACAAAATTTGTCATTTTTTCTTAAATTAAGGGATGATTGGATCTAAAATTGTGGGTCCTAGTCCATTTTGGAATGAGTTGTAAAGTTCTGATAGTCCATAGTTCATGGACACTAAAATATAGTGTCCCCAAATAGTTCCGGGTCAGGCTTACGTTTTCTCCAATCCTGGTCCTTTTTCCTGTTCTGTGACTTCTGAAAAGGAATCACTGCTGTTAAATCTCTTTGTCCTTGGGGGGGAGGGGGAACTAAAAAGCCTGGAGAACCAAACTCAAATGGGGAGAAGCCCAGTATTGTTGCTTATTGGTATTATTGTTTGTTTCTAATTTGTCATCCTATTTAGGGCTTTGAACATGGATGACTTTCCCGGACAAAGGTCTGGAGAGGCATCACATCATGTGCTACAAGCTGTATCCTCCTGAGGTTTACTGGTGTTGAGCCCTGACAGAAATGCATACCCTGAAGTCTGTGCTCAGTCTTCCGTGAGGAAGCAGCCAACCGCTCTGTGCAGCAGCAAATCTGCCAGCTGGCCATAGAGGGGCAATGGCATCAGCTGCAGCCTATTCCCTTTGCTAGCTACATGACATATCTGGTCTGGTAGGATTAAAAACCAGGGCAGCGTGGAGCAAATTGCTGCAGGGAGATGGCTTTGGGGGCAGGGGAGAGCATTCATGCAAGGGTTCTTTTGAACATTTCTGTCTTCATCCCAAGCTACCTTCTACATGGGATGGGGCTGGGGGAGGAGAGGGAAGGGGAAGTCTGACTTTCAGGAAAGACCATGGAGAAGCGTAACTCACATTAATGGTGAGATTAAAGGATTACATTCAATTCACACCGCAGTCAAAATGAAATCTCAGCCTCTGCTTTTTGTGTACTGTGCAGTGGCAGAGCTGTGATGGTGGGTGGTTACAGTGCTATGCATCCTCCACAGTGCACAGAGGGAACAGTCTGATTCTGGATTTTTGTTTGCCACTCCCAGTACAAGTGTCTGCACCTCTTGGAAGTTGCTCAGGATTACAGAACCTTGTGCACCACATTGAGGCCCACATTAAAGACCACTTTAAGGCACTTTTTTACACAGTCCAAAGCTTAACTGGGCCTTTTCATTACTGCTAGTGTGATAACACTACAGGTGAGCTCCAGTCTCTGCTGGTCTCTTAACAGTGCTCCCAGCTGTGGGAGACCAATGCAGAAATCCATCTGCCTCCTGAGGCTGTAGGGCATACTCCACCACGTTAATGCCTGTTGCTATCTGAATGTATTCTTTCCCCAACAGGTCCATGGGAAGTGTGTGTGCAGACACAATACAGCAGGGGACCACTGTGAGAAATGCGCACCACTATACAATGATCAGCCTTGGAAGCCAGGAGATGGAAAAACTGGGGCACCAAATGAATGCAAAAGTAAGTGGGAGAGAGCTTAATGATCCAGGGAGCCAGGGTGAGCAGTCACTCCACCAGCAGGCAGTCTTCTAGCTGTGACTGCATAAATTGTAGTATTCTGAGGTTTTTTATACAACTTACGATCCCATCAGATTGGCTTGTCTTGTAAAGATGTGGCAGCTAAACTTCTTGGTTGGGTGTTCTTTGGGTTGGAATTGTGATTTCTTTTTTAAAGAAATATCAGAGATTGCAAGCAAAGAATATGTGCTACATTCAGATATATGTCCTCCATGATTCACAGTAGGGAAATTACACTATTTGAACAGTATCATTTGTTGTGCCTCTTAGATAAGCCTGAAGTACATTTCTGTGTTTCCCATCAGAGTGTCGCTGTCACAACCATGCTGACAGCTGCCATTTTGATCTGAGTGTTTGGCTGGCATCAGGGAAACACAGTGGTGGAGTCTGTGACAACTGCAAGCATAACACAGAGGGACATCGGTGTCAGAGGTGCAAACCGGGGTATTACAGAGATAGAGGGAAACCCATGTCTTCTGCAGAGGTCTGCAAACGTAAGTGATTCTCTTCCTTCAGTGAAGATAAGTGAATGGTGGAAGCTCGTTAAAAGAATCAACTGCTATGGAAGCAATTAGTGGTATTACTATTCTTTGTTTTTTTTATTTCTAGACCATAGTTTTCTGATTAGAAGTCATTTTCCTGATTTTCTGTGTCTAGCTCTCAATGGTATCACAATTTTTATGATAGCTGCTATAGTTCCCTGGTGCATTACATTCTGATGAAAGGTATATTCTTGTGCTTGCATTTAAAATAATGTGATTCTGTTTTTCATTTGAAGCATGTTTTATTTAACTACTTCTTCTGCATCTCATCATTAAGACAGGGGATGGTGTACCTATGTGAAAGATATTCTTAAATTCCGTTTGGCTGTGCAGTACAGAGAGCATCAGTGTATACAATAAAACTGCACCCCTATTGGAACAGATGAATCAGAGCTTTCAGACTTATCTCTGAATTCTAGGTGCTCTGCCCAAATTAATTGCCACATTAACAGTTCAGCAGGATGTGTCAGTAAGTAACTCAGGCACTAACATGAGTCTATAACCTCTGGATAGAGGCAGTTTGCATCCAGCCAGTCTGGAACATAGCCATAATGAGCCCAAATCTCTCTTAGTCTTGATGTTTCCTGAGTATCCTGCCAAATTTCACACTTCTTAATCCATCTGGTATTTATTTGGAAATTGCTGTATCCAAGAATACACATAAATTCATTTCTTCCTTTGGATAGTCTCCCTTCCCTCCAACTCAGACATCAGTTGCCAACACTGGGAACATCAGCTTCTGTCACTTATACTCATGCATGTTTGGTCTTCATCAAGATTTCTCTTAAGCACTCAGGATACAAACAGTCCTCTCCCTTGAGCCTAATGGCCTGTGACACTGCTTGAAGCATGCACAACACATCCCATATTTCTGCACGTTCGTATGCTTTCCACTGGAGTATCTTTCTACTTAGCTCAGACTTCCACACAACCCTTTCTCTTTGATTTCATAATTTCCAACCAACACTGACATAACACTGATCCTAACACTGGGTTGGGATGAGCTTATCTCATTTACCCCATATGCTGTAGTGTTATGATGGCCTCTCTCCAGTCCTGTTTTTATTCTGAACAGATTTGCTCAGAAGTGAGAACAGAATTTTATGCCGAATTAGTTTTCAGTCTTACAGTATCTGCAAGACTTTGTGTATGAAGCACTTGTGTTTAATACCAGGGTGATGGTATAGAAACCAGCAACATATATAATATTATATAACCACTAAAGTCAAGGAGCACAGGAGAAAAGCAGAGAGGAAAAAAAAACATTTGAAAATACAACTTACCTGTGTGGGAAACCCTAGAATGGTCTGCCTGGGTGAAATCAGACCTTGATTCTACCTCTGCATCTTTTGTGATCTGGTTACAAGCCTCTCTCAGTGCCTCCTGCCAATATTCTGCATAGCAAAAGAAAAACTGTTCAGATGGATAAGCAGAAATTCACCTTGTTAAAAGAACTTTATTATGATCATGCCAGTCAGCCACAATAGCATTCTTTTCACCTGGGAGGGTGCTTCCACCAGCAGCAGGACCTCAAATGTAATTGTGTGCACTCAAGCCTAGATTGCTGACATCCTGAAATTTAAATGTCTTTTCCAGATTCTGTGTACAGTCAGTGGAGAAGCAGTAGGATGTCCAAGGGATGATTTATTGTGCTTTAACACCGATGTCTATGATAGACAAGGTGAATTGCCCTCTAAAGGGTGTCTATTTATTTTCCCTAACTTTAGAGCCATTCTGGACCATTAACCTGCACTAGAGAGTTTCCATTGGTTGAGATGAATCTAACAGGTTTGATTCAGCATTATTACCAATAAGTAAGTGTGACCTTATCTGTGCATAACTTAAGTCAGTGGGACTCCTTCAGGCAAGTAAAGTCATACATGAATGCTTGTGATATTCAGGTATAAGGGCATGTAGTTCACTCTAGATAACATTAGTTTTACAGTAGACTGTATGTGCACAATGCTTGTACTTGCATAGAAACAAATGGGGCATCAGTGACAGAAAACATGGAAACATCAATGTAGACAGGCACAACTGTTTGGGTTAGAACAGACTTAATTCGATAGAGGGGAGATTTTACCTCCAGAACCACTAACATCAGCTCCTTAAGCCTAGTGCAGACTTCATGCAATTTGTAACAGAGGCTCTCTTCTCCGTCGTTTATGTTGCAAAACCTGCACTGCTATTAAGCTTAATCTGGGTGAGCAAATTGTTAAGCTTATGTGACCCTAAAAACTCTTGTTGCATGTTTTTTTTTCTACCTTGCTAATATGTATGACAATCGGACCAGGTACATTTCCCTCAAACCTTGGCCTACTGATCATAAGCAGAAGAACTGCCAATTCTGAACCATTACATCTGTCAGGATTTACATGTACCACTTCCAAGCCATCATCTCAGTTTGAGAAAACCACACAAAAAGTCCTAGGCTTACAATAGTCAGTAACTCACATGCTGGGCAAGAGCTGAAAAGCAATAATAAACTGCAAACAGCAGAGTGAATGGATGATTTTTGCCTGGTTCTCAGCTTCTAATTTTGAAGTCAGAGAAGAAAAATCTCCATGGGAGATCAAAACTTGACCCATGTGTACAGTGGATACTGAGCTGGGAAAGGAAATCTGATGAAAAAGCTGAATGAAATGCTGTGCTAATCCCTTTGAGAAAGCACGCTTGAAGAGTGCTCTGCCATCCAGAGCAAAGTCTAGGTTCAGCTGTGACAGCCCCCTCAGGCTCCCAGAAAGTTAACAGGACGCTGCCCAGGCCCAGAAAGAGTCTTTAAGCATTAGTCATAATAATGAACAGCATTGTCTCTTAATCACTGCTAGGAAAAAAAAAAGTTGTATAACAATTGGATGTCCTGGCACTATCCAAACCACCCTTTGCTGACCCTCCAATGTGAGACTGCAAAGACATTCCCTTGGAGAAAAAAAATAATAATAATAGGTTGAAATTTGACATGTAAGTGTGAATCTGTTATTCCTTTTCATCTGCAGAGATAGCCTGCCTCTGATCCCTTTGCTTCTCTTTTTCCTAGCAGCTGGAGGTGAATGAGAGCCAGGTCATGTACAGGGCCTTGTTTTGACACTGTTTAGATTTATTTAAAAAAGGAAAAAGAAAGAATAAGAGAAAGAAAGAATAAGAAAAAGAAAGGCATGAGAAGAGTACCAGAGCAAAGCTCACACCTGCTTGTTATTGGGGGTGACAACACGGGATTAAGTGGTTTGAATATAGATTTGTAGGAGAGCATTGACTCAGAAGCCTAATCGTTTCCTAACCAATGATTAGAAAAGCTGCTGTATCCTTGGCTCTTTCCTGTGGCTTATTTGGAGGCTTAAAGGATCCTTCTGAAATGGCACCTTCTTTTGTACTTGCACTTTGCTTAGCTTAAATAAAATGCAGGCACGTAGACCCATTTAGAAAGGCTGTCCAGGAAAACAAGTTTTTTACTCCAAGCACAAGGGTTGAAAATTAAAATGTAGCCAGATGCACATGTACACACTCTGAAAAGCTCTGCTGCTCTTCCTTTTACTTCTGAGCAGAGGCAGTGAACTTTTAATTGTAATATCACAAAGGCCTGATCACATCTTGGTTCAGTCTGTTTTAATCAGCTCTGACCACACACACAGCTGTCTATCTTACTGCCTTCATTTAAGAAGCATCATCAGCTGAGTCAATCCCCACATCTGACATGCTTTAAAAACAGCTCTGATTTGTTTGTATGCACAAAAGATGCACATGCATATATTTCAGATTCAAAAGATGTTGTTGTCTGTCTTTCATCAGTCTGCCCATAGCTGTTTCTTATGCAATACTAGACAGAAGTTTAAGGGGATATACATCCTGGTTCACTGAGTCACTTGGAGCATTTACTATTTTCCTGTAACTGGGGATCATATTTTTGCAACCAATATTACATTTTTACATCTGTGTCTAATAACATGGGGAAGACAGCTGTGCTGAGAGCAGACGGATTTATTGAGGACTGGAGTGGAGATTGCTGCATGAATAATTCATATTTTTTTTTATTCCTTGTCTCCCTCTTTTACAGTATACAACATCCAGTAGGATAACAAAAATCTTAGGGTAGGAGTGAGAGTAAAAGCCAAGAGGATGCTTTGTGATACATTGTGACTGACAGCCACTACTAATACACAGTGAAGTGTTTTGCATTACACTGCTGTCAAGGGGAGACCCATATAACCAGCCATCTCTGAGCCAGAGCTGTCTGCACACCGTCCCTAACATAATTGATGATGCCTTTGACAAACAAGGCTATTGTCATGTTGGCTGGTGTTTTGTTAGACGGGGAGGCAGATAGAGAAAACTAGGGTTTGCCAAGAGGAAAGAAAGAAAAATCAGCAGGGAAAAATTCTTTGTTAAATATTGGGAAATGTAAAAAGATGAGGTTTTGGAAGATTGCTTTTCTGTTTCTTTCATTGTAAGATTTATCTGCAAATCTCTGATACTAAGAAGCAGATAAAATTCAGTCATCATCAGCTGCCCCTTCAGCATGTGACATGTGAGCTCTTATTTTGGGAGTTTCCTTAGATGCACAACGATTTTGGCCATAACACTCTGTAAGCCAGACAATGTACACACCCAAGCTGAAATGCTAAATAAACACAGACTGAGTAAAGCATTTGCAAGCCACTTGTATAACTCATCTGAAAGTGTTGTACATTAATTGATTCGGCCTGCTCTCTGATCCACCAGAAGGCTGTCCCTGTTTCTAATTGGGGAACATGTTCATTTGGAACATTAGTTTTCCTGAACTGCAGCCCTGAAATAACTAAAACAAACCAAAAGGGAAAAAAAAAAAAAGAAAAGTGCATTTCTTCTAGCTCCTTATTAGCTCCTGTCAGTGTTATAGTCACTGTCCTTCAGTACTTTCCCTAAGGGATAAGATGGGTGAAGGTCTCATCTTGAATTGGTTCGTGACAGGTAGGCTAATGATGTTAATGACTTACCCATCTGTCATGTGACCCTAACTGATAAAACCTGAACACTGGAAGATGAGAATAAAAACAGATCCAGAAGTTGCAGAAATATGAGAAAATTTATGTGAACACTCCACAGGTAGATTTTAGATACAGACATACTAGGATGAAATCAGAAATCTGGATTCAGGCCAACACAGATGTTGGCAGCCTCTCACTGCTTGTGGCTCAGACCTGTCTGCACTAATGGAAGCACGTGTTTCTGCTTCTTGTCCCCAAATCTAATACATTTTCAGTGTTGGATGCAAGTTAAGTGTCTCCTTTTTTAGGGTGATGTAGCCAGTCCTACAAAAATCTGTGCAGAAGTAATTCAAGTTGAGCAGCAACACATCAGAACTTGCCTTTGAAACTGTCAGTGCTAATGAGCACTTCACTGTTACACCTGCTCTCCAGAACTGACAGCAAAATCCCTGGGTTTGCTCCCAAAGTCAAGACTGCTTTGTGGCAAACAGGCGAGCCTGCTGCCATCCGCCAACCAGCTCATTGTGTTGAGTACATTGCCCATGACAGCACGCTTATTTTTTGTCCTTAGGCTATTGTGCTAGTGTCCCTTGAAAACAACTGACTGAGATCTGTCTACAGCAGAGTGTAATAATATTATTAAAAATATTGGCATAAAGAACACAGGGCATGGTGAAAAAAATAACTACATAGTAAGCAGATCGTAAGAGAAATGCCTATTAAACAAAACTGCTCACCCTTTTTCTCATATGTTTTTGAAAGGTATTTTTTTCTTGAGCATCAAACGTGAAGTTGCAGATGAAAGTGAATCTGTGCTTGCTACAGTTAACACTCTTTGTAGTCACGTACTCCCCCCTTGGAAAATGATGTGTGGAATCAGTGTTCATTTGTTCTACTATCTGTGAGCTCATGAAGAAAAGTAGTTTGATTAGTAGCAATGATGGGCAAACATCAAAAGCTTTGGAGATTGTGTTTGGTTCAGATAAGCATCCAGAAGGCTGGCCCCTGATCCAAGCTATCCAAACACCTTGGGTGTCCAGCATTTAACTGAAAAGCTCTATTAAAGCAGGTCTTTGCCACAATATTTTTATTTCCTCCCTTTTACAGATGGATGATGTCGTGATATATTTCCTCTTAAGACACTGCTACAAGGAAAAACCAGGGCAAGCTTCTTTGTTACTATAAAAAAAGAACTGAAATACGAAGGCCTGGGGTTCAGCTCAGTTCTCATTTTAATCAAACATGTTTGAATAGGAAAAATTAGTGGGTTTCTGGCTTGTACCTACAGAGAGCCATTGGCACAAGGCTCAAACATCTCAGTTAACATATTCCCTGATGAGGAGGAGTCAATTGAGCCTGGCTTTGCACCGCCAGAGATATAAATAGATACAGATATGATTTTCTACCTCATTCCCTGATGCTGTCACATTGGGAAAGTACTGGTGGCATGGGACTATGACAATTTGCTGTATTTGAAGGCAGTATCCCATAGGAGCTCTAAGTATCTGTTTTATTATCAAGTTGTCTTCAGTTGCTCAGGCCAGTGTTAAACTGGCCATAGCATTAGGAAGATCTCTTGTATTTTTATCCTATTGCTATTCAGCAACATGTAAAATACATCTAATGAGTTTAAAGATCCTCTCTCATTCTGTTTCCTATTCTTTTAACAAGTTTATTTATAATAAATGCCATCAGCTTTTCTATATGTATATAGTACTGCACAGTAAAACATCCCCCAGAACTCACAAGGAAAGAAATCTGTAGATAGTGTAGAAGCAGACACTGAATAAATATTTCAGATTGTCTGAACCACCTGAATAATCCACATCTAGCTCCAGAGGAAGCACTAGCTTTGTCTAATGCTATTCCCAGGAAAGACTGCAGGCAATAGCTATCATTTGGGACCGCATCCATGCTAGTGAATCTTTCTGCAAGCCATTTGAAAAATGAACGCACGGCTTCTAGTGCTTCAAAACCCTGTATGTTCCAGATTTGTATACAGGAAAGGATTGACCTAGCTGGATTAATCTTGCTGTGCTTAATGAGTTAAAAAAAAAATACTGCAATTGTAGGTTACCTGTTCTGACATAATCTACACTGTTCTGACATAAAACCATTGAGCATCAGGAGGAGGGCAGGAATTTAACAGCTTTGCAAAAATGTCACGTGACCAGATGAGCCCCGGGCACATAATCTCAGTCACCTTTTACCATATCTCCATAGCTTGCTCCTGCCAGCCAATGGGTTCAGCCAACGCAACGTTCAGCCGGAGCTGGCGATGCCACCCCAAGACGGGATTCTGCTACTGCAAGCCAGGTGTGGCGGGCCCCAACTGCGATAGATGTCTCATGGGCTACTGGGGCTTTGGAGAAAATGGCTGCCGTCCTTGTGACTGTGCCAGAGACTGCGACCAACATACTGGAAGCTGTTTCAATGGGTAAAGAAGCCCTCATTTGAGTTCACTTTGAGATGGGATTCTGTAAAAATGAAATGAAGGTTAAATGAAATATGGCAAAAATGACAGGAAATGGAGGATGCTGGAGGAGGCCAGGGGATGCATATAATTTGAAAAGGTGGTTGTAAGTCATAAAAGGTCTCTTGGATTCCATTTGATGGCTAGCACACTTGTAAATCCATTGTATCCAAGCCAATCTTGAAATGATGACTTTTGCTAATAAGAAGCAACACCACAACCTCATAGGAGTCTGTACAGTATTCCTAAATACATCTGTTTGCCTTGGAAATAAATGAGAGAGTCTGGAGAGCTTGCTTCTCCTCTGTGCCCAAAGTGAGTTTCAAGGTCTTTCTTTTATGTCTGCTGGGCAGGTATATGCATCCCAAACATGCTTTAATCTCAGTACAGAAATCCTATGACTTACTGGCTGCAGTTTTATCAGTCCTGTAAGTGTCCTCAGTTCCTACTGACATCAGCAAGTGATCACTAACTTAGAATTACTTGATTCAGAAAAAGTAACAAAAAATAAAGCCCGAACCTATGAACCTTTCCAACCAGAAAGAAAAAATGACAAGGCCTCAAATGTAGTTATTTAGAAACAAAAATGCTAAGTCAGCACTGGTGAGGTCTAAATAACAGCCTAGATGTTATGGTTTCTCTACAAGAAGTGAAGTTTTGCTCTTACACTTCCAGCCTGAGATGAGAAAGCTTAACTATTTGGATGCAGCCATAATCTGCTTCTCTGTGTCCTAACCAAGTCTTCTCTTCTTTGTGCCCTTCCAGCTATGACAACGAGCCATTCTTTAACATCCCCATTGGGGGACGAATCCCTGACCTTGTGCAAACACCAACTAATGAGAGCGAAGATGAGTGGAAATGGAATGACCACGAGCAGGGATTTTCTGCTCTGAGACACCCAGGTAGAGCCCAAAGTCTGGGAATATCCAGTAACTTCACTCAGTGCCAGCTCCTTCTTCTTTTCACCCTGACTCAGACTGTCTCATCTCTAGCTTTACTCTGTCCTCCTGCTGGCAACATCTCTTGATTTGAGCTGTCACTGGTTATTATACCTATGTTGTTATTTTCCAAACAAGGTTCTGCTATTCAACTTTGGGTTTTGGAAGCCAATGAGTCATAAGTAAGATTGTGTGAAAAATATTCTCCATCTGTATTCATAATTATTGTCATAATGCTTATAAATTTACTCAGCTTCACCTCAATCACTCAATGTGTTGATCAGTGCTTCAAATGCTGTTTGTGAAAAGACTGTGTCAGCCATCACTGAAATGGAGCCACCTCTGGGGTGGAACAAAAGCGATGTTAGGAATAAGGTATCCCTCACTGCACAGCAGCTCAAGACAGAAAGTAAAGAATTATTATACTGTACCAAGATAATGTCATCAAGTAAGCAAGGTTACAGAATGAGGTAGAGCCTTTAATACTTGAAATGCTGTCAGTATTGCTTGCCACAAGTGAAAGTCCACATTTACCAGCATCAATGACTTCAGACCCAGAAGTAATAGCACCAGCTATTGTATACCTCGACTTTCCTGAGAGCAGCATTACGTTAATAACAGTGAGGTTCATCATTTCTTAGCTTATAGGATCAAAAAAAGGATATTATTACTTACTTGATTTAAATCTGGATCTGATTCTAATAAAAAAAATCTTTATTAGTATCAGTTTATTAACTATATAATAGACACCATGAGGGCCTCATTTTACTTGACAGCACTGTTCAGATCTCAAACTAATTATTATACTACCTAACAAGAAGCAGATTTGCAAATAAGTGAGCTCACGCTCAAGGACTATTCAAGTCCATCGAGATTATGGGAGTTACATACATAAAACTTTATAACTGAATAGCATTTGCTTCTCTTCCCTCCCTCATTTCCTGGCTCTTCTCCAACCTTTTGTATTTTGTGATTCTTCTGCTAGAAAAGTGTGTGTGCAAAGAGAAGGTGCTTGGAAGCGTCACTGACTTCTGTCAAATGAAATACGCTTATGGTAAGTGCCCTCAAGGTATGATACTTTCACAGCGTTCTTTATGCATGTTATTTGCTGTTAGCTGATAGGAGTGAAAAATTACAGAACTGGCAAAATGAGGTTGGATTTCTTCTGTGCTTTTTGTATAGAGACATGTCCAACTTCAGACCAGAGCTGATCAGTGAATAGCTTATTTCATGCCAGGCTCTTTGGTGTCTCCTTTCCACCTTCACTTTTTACAGCAGGAGTGCAAAAACTCTAAGTCTGTGGAATGACTGACCTCTGCCATTGCTTCTGCAGTCATTATGCAGGCTCAAATGCTTGCTTACCAAGAATGTATTTAATACTGTGATTTATCAACACCTGATTCATGCCATCACATGAAGCAAGAAAGGAAAGCTTCAGCATCCAGAGGTTCAATATGCTTCTGTCATGACACAACAAAGCCTGCTCATGGGACCAAGCTGGATGAGTCTACCCTGCCAAAAAGTTATGGGAGCCTATTAAATTAAAGGAAATCTATCATGGCAACCAGATGTTAGGCCACAGAACAAAAATACTTTTTCTGGTTTGTTGTGCAAATCATGGAATTTCAGCCATGTGATATGTCTGACAGGAAACTTCCTGACTTCCTTCCTGTGGAGCAGACTGTCCCTTCCCACTGGACACAAATATAGAAAGGCCAGTGTTACAGCTATACCAATTCAAGACGAGTCTTCAAACTGTCAAATATAAGGCACAGAATCAGTGTGCTTCAAATCAGATTATTAGCAGCTGATCTGTTTTTACACCCTTCCTCTGTATACATATGTACAGTTGTTTTCTGTAATCTCCAAATGTCTGACAGCAGTCCATTAAAGAATAGTTGATAAATACCATGTTGAAAGGATCAGTTACTTCAGCAAAAAAAAAAAATTCAGTTTTCCTTCTCCAAATTTATTTGGAAGGAATCATGACTGAAACACACAAGCACTGGAACACACTTTTGGTACAACTGCAGTGTTTTTCCATGTTCTTCCAAGATGTTAAAATTCTACCTGTTAGCAACATAAAAAAAATCATTTAGAAATTCTGTGCTGGTTCCATCTGGATATGTTTCTTGACAGTGATAAAAGCAAGAATCCTGTCGGCTCATGACAAAGGGACACATGCAGAAGTTGTTGTGAAAGTGAAGAAGGTCCTGAAGTCCGGTAAAGTGAAAATTGCTCGGAGCAACAGAAGCATTTACCCAGAATCCTGGACCAACAGGGGATGTACTTGTCCCATTCTCAATCCTGGTAAGAACAAAATGCTTTTAGCACTTATTCTGTGGGATTAGACTCAGGCTGTTACGGTGCTCATCAGACTCATCCTCTGCATCTGCAATACTGCAAATCAGGAATAACTCTTCTGAAAAGAAGGAAGTTACACAGTATGAGAGTAATGGAGATAAAATCTAGCTGGAATAATTCACTGTGGTACAGCAGTTCCAGGTAGCATAAAGCACAGTGAATCCACTTCTTTCTGTTGACTACTACAATAAAGGACAGAAAAAGTAATTCCAGATTTAAACACTTAAGTACAAAACACATTTCCTTGTGGTGGATGTAATAAAAGGCAATAGATGGGACGTTTCTCTATCCACTGGACAGTAGCTAGACTGAAACTACTTTCAACAGCTACTGCATGAGCAGTGCAACTACCCAAGCCAACAGCTTGCTCCCCCTGTAAACAGTGGTGACAATTCATTAGGAACATTGGCTACAACTGCTGAACACTTCTCATTCATCTCCATCAAAGAGATGGAGTAAAAAGCATTAAAAAGCATTTTCTTATCAGATAACAAAGTCATACAAAGAAAAAAAATCAAGTCACCCTGGAGATGTTTCACTTTTTTCACTGCTATACCAGAATACATAGGTGCCATAATGAACAGACATGTCAGCTAAGCTGCACATGGCATGGAGATTAATCTGGCCCTTTAGGCTGCTCACCAGCCAACCCCCCCCATGCAGCTCTTCTCAAGCACTTCAGTAATTGTGTTTTTGTTTTTCTCAGGAACACTAACAATGTGATCTTTCTGTTGCCAAGATTTTCAACTCTCAGTTCCTTCTTGTCTTTACTCCAAAAGTTTCATTCCACAGATGGAACCCGAAGAATTGCTCTTTGGCAGTTAAGTGGGTGGATATAAAAAGGTTGTCTGCCTTCCATCAGGATTTCTGTACTAATCTCAGCTAAGGTCAAACAACCAGGGCACAATTTTACAATAACAAGTAAAATTAAACAAACAGAAAGCATGCAAGTAAATATGCAAAACAAGAGATATAAATTCACCTATTCTCTGTGTAGGACTTTAAAACACTCTTCTTCCCTGAACACGTAGGCTGCTGAAAATATAAGCTGAATACAGGACCAGTTTCCATGTGTATTGGGATTGAATTCTGCTACTCATGTCTATAAAAGCCAGGAGTAAAGCTACTACAGCACAGAGAGTTATGCTAACTTAGAACAAAGGTCAGAGAGATGAGACTCAAAGTTGGTTATCTGTGCATGGTGGTGGCGAGTCTGCAAGTGCTAAGCCCTTCAGAACTAAATCAACCTGTAGTTGTAATTTCTGCATGTAATCATCTCAGCTGTTACTCCAGGAGTGAGCACTGACAACATGCACATGAATGAGTGTGTACACGCAAGACTGCATGTGCACAAACTGGCATTTAAAAACGGCATGAACCTGGCTAAGATGCCACTTATGAAATCCTTACAGAGTAGAGAATTTCTGCATTTTTCTTCTACTCAAGTGTTTTTTTCTTTCCTTCAAATTAGGTACTGACTATCTGATAGCAGGCCAGGAGGACTCTAGGAGCAGCAAACTTCTTGTGAACATGAACAGCCTGGTGAAACCCTGGAAAGCACATCTGGGAAAACAAGTGGCAGATATTCTTCGAACAGGGTGCAAGTAACTTCAGCTTCAGAAATTACAGTGATGAACTTTGCCTTTTAGTAACACTGCAGTGAAAGGTGTAGCTAGCTCCTATGTTCCCAGTGAATGTGCTCCTAGCTGAAGTGATGAAGGTGGGCTCACCACCCTTTCTCCTTTCATTTCCGTAGAGAATGCTGGGACATGACTGCTTTTTTTCCAGAATGCACAGACTTATCACATAGCATCATCCATAGGTTACAGTTTTTAATTTCAGCCTGATTCCGTGTACCCAGAGAATCATTTTACAAGGCAAAACTGAAGGTATGGATGTTTCCACACTTCCAGTCAGAGCCTGATATTAATACATATAAGCTGATTACATAACACATTCATTACTTGGGTGTAGTTTTTTTTTTTTAAATAAGTGACCACTAACAGGCAGCAATTTCTTTCAGCTTCACAAGTGGCATAATACTAGATAAGTATGTCAAATATAATATCCATCTAAAGCAGCTCAGATATTTTTATTTACCATCAGTGATTATGCCAGTATAACATGCTGCTTTCTAGAAAACAATACAGTCAGATGGCTGAACAGAAACAAACTAACACAGGACTCATCTGGGACAAGGCTCTGTAGATGTACTTTGCTATCGTCAGTGCTTAGTGATGAGCTCTGCTGCAGAAAGCTCCTTATTACAAACTTGATTCCAAATCCAGCTCTTGCTCTCATCTTGCTCTTTGCTGTAGTACTCAAAACTGTAACACCAGGCAAAAGTTGCACAGTGGTTACTACCAAAAAGCCTTATGCTAGGAAAGAGCCAAAACGTGATGAACTTTAGCTGCTCCTATGTCGAGTTTATAGTACCACAAAAGCTACAAAAGTAGGAGGTAAATGGGTTGCTTGTATTGCATATTAAATGAGATAGCTAAAGTTACTGTGAGAGCAACCTGGTATTCAAACTGTGCTCAAGACCACTGACATTTGATTTGCACTTAGTGCTTTCATTCTGCTTTATTTCTCTTGGTCACTCTTGAGGTTAAAATACTGAACTTCGGTCACCTTCTTATTGTACACGAGGATTTTTCTCCCGCCCCACAGAAGTACAGGTGAGGTAACATCTGCACTCTAGGTGGAAATAGTCCTGTCCTGCAAAAGCATTCTTTCTAAACCAATTTTCCCCTACACCACAGTAATGAAGAGGTAGCTATTTTAATCGTTCCCTAACAAAATATTTCGAAGAAATTGTAGTTCTTGATTTCTGCCCCTGAGAAAAGGAAATCATGATCAAACGGAGTTCATTTAAACACATCATGTCATTAAGTAAAGCAGAAATGATAATGGATCAGTCTATACTTTCAGGTGGTCACATGTGCTTCTTCTGCATATATCTTATTCCACGCCTACAATTTGTCTGATGCTCTCAAAAAGAGGCACTACCTTAATTTAGCACTCCTGAGTGTTACGTGGGAAAATCCAAAGCTAATGCAAAGGGATGGCTGTTCTAGGCTACAGGTTTATTCTCTTCATCACTGGGAACCTGAAGAATACAGCTTTGTTAATTCTAATTGTACCTGTTTTCCTTTTAACTCTGCATTGGTTGAACAGCAGAAAAACCTTCAGGTCATTTGGAAATGGATGGCAGGCAGGTATTAAAAAAAAACAACACTGCTTTTCTGCTGACAGTGTATAAAGTGTCTCTCTTTCCCCTTCCCTTCTCCCTTGCCATAGATTTTCTTTCCTTCTGTTTGTCTTACAAGCACTTCATTATTTATTTGTTGTTGCTAAAGTGGTATCCAACAATGTGGCATCTCCAACAAGCTATTTAATTAATGCAATAAAAAACTTTTTAAACAGGATATTTGGCTTAATTTGAAATGTCAGTGTATAGAAGTTAGGAGCATAACACTTTCTTTATCATCTTCAGTGTCTGAACAAGAAGACTGACTAGCTCTCTTTCAAACAGGAATAAAGACATGCTCATGAATTTAAGTGTTCTCAAAGGGCCTCTCACAATAGGTGAAAATGAGGTGTACGTTTATAGCTAAATTAAGGAACATACCTTTCAACACAGGTCATTTTACCTGTGAGGCATCTCATTTACCGTGATCGTATTCCATTGTGGTTCATAGTCAGTACTGTATTAAAGCAAACTTCCATGTTTTAATTTTTGTGCCAGATTGGTGATTTTGTGGGGAGCGTGAACAGCTTCACAGTTCCTTTTGGTGAGTGAAAATTATTTAGTAACATGGTCTTTCATGACTATTTCCAGCAGTTGCTAATAGAAACACCATTTGGAACACAAATATTGATACCCTGGTATGTTCTCCTAGTACATGCTGTAATACTGTAATGATTACCTTAGTGCAAACACAGCTGTGTGCAAAGACAGCTGTCAAAATGTTGCACACTCAGAAATGAGTGACAACCATACGCACACATTTTGGAGAGGTATAAAGCAAATGAGGTGGTGGGAGAGGGAGGTAACGCCAAAAACATTCAACAAATTTATTACCCAAATTTCCCATTCTTTGAATCTCTAATTTATTTGCTGGTGGCTATATAGATAAGTTTCCCTCATTGCCTCTGTTGGTCAGAAACATGCACATTTTGTTCCAATTGCAAGCTCTCATTTACTGGCTTCACATGTACATGAGAAAGTGCAGGATGACTTACAGAAGCTGCTGCATGTCTCTCAGAACAAGCAAACATGGTCATACATAGTGAATTTAAAATAAACTAGCACAGAAGATAACTCTTTCCAAGATGAATTGTTTTGTAGGTCTGCATGCAGTACCAAGTATCTTTCAATCATCTCTGTGATTGTCTCTCTTAGGTGGCATAATAGTATAAATAACACTAATCCAGAAAAGAAGATGCATTTGCCTGTACAGAAGTGGCTGTACTGTTTCTTATAGTAGAAAAAAGGACCCTCTTAAAGATGCCTTTGTGAACAACTCTGCAATGCCCAAATTGATAAAGCGTCTTACAAGCAGTAGCAATCACATACTAAACAATAGCAGCAATGTATCACTTGGAAATTCTGCATAAGGATTAAATAAAAGCATCTGGCCACAAGGAAAGGCTGGAAAGTTGTAAAAAATGCATAAAAGTGCAGGTAGTCACCTGAAGGAGAAGCACATGCAACTTTCCACACAACAGCAACAAACATGGTATTGTTGCTCAGAGCAGTTCTGTAACAGCTGTGCAGCACATCTGTCCATGAGCAAATGACCATTCTTACAACATGCACCTTTAAAACATGGAAGCAGTTCATTAAAAGGTGAGTGCTGAGCTTTAGTTCCTGTGTGGTAACATACCATCACTAATGCTTCATCTTCTGCTCTTGGCAAATGGTCAAGAAGGAAAATAGCAGAACTTTGTGCAGTGCACTTCTGGAAATAGTTCACTGCTATAAAGAGCAAGTTTTGTAACATTCACCATGACTCATGACTTTTCCATGCTGCTTGATGTAAGTTTTCACTGAGTTGATATAATTTATACAAAGTGGTCTCTGAAGACCCCCAAACCTGGAAGAGTTAGTGTGTTATTTGTTACGTGTTGTAGCACATTCTCTTTTGTACTTAAAACATCAATTAAAAATATTCAGACATTTACATTGATGTCTGGTTTGGGATCTATTTTTAGAATTTTGAACCACACAATCCTCAGACTACATGCACATTAATACTTTTTAAGTTAATAAACCACAGTGATTACAGAAATCATCGAGGCTCTTGCTTCAATAATATCAAGCACAGAGTTTAGCAAATGCAGAAAAGCATTTAGCAAACAACGCAACCACATTATATGTCTTATACTGAGGATCCTGGGGGGGAGAGGGGGGGGGGAAGTACATTTTGTATGAAAATGTGCAGAATACAAACAAAACAGGAGCTGTTAATTTATGCTAGTTCAACAATTAATCAAAATTCAACACTGCATGTACCTGCACTTAAGATTCCCAAGTGTTTAATTCCCTATCAAAATAAATACATCAGAACTAATAAGGTTTAAAAAGATACCAATTTCTTAACTCCTCCTTTGCATGTAGTTAATTTGAGGGTTACAAGGCATGCAAACAGAAATGCATGAGGTGTAGGCAGAAGATGCCTTCTCCACAAATGCTCAGAGTGTAGAAGTCTGAATTGCTGGTTCCCAGGCTTAAAGCCAAACCCAATCTGTCACCAGAGATGTATCTTTGCAACTCTTTCTAACACCTGATCTTACTCTCTGATGCACTTTAACAAGTTCGTATCTTAGCTGTGTATTTCTATTGAGACAACTGTATCCTTAAGGCCTAACCTTCATTCCTCACACAGAAATGACATGATGAGTATCATCATCCCGCTTTTGTCTTACAGCTTTGTGATGAGAAATATTATGATATACTGCCTCCAGATGCACAAGTCTGAGTACTGGATTATGTTGTCATGGAAGCACTATACCTGACACAGAGCTGCTACTCAGTGCCAGTGCACAGGGACAATGTACAGAACAGACTCTGGTAGCCTGGATTTTCAGAACTGCAGCCTCTGCACCTGAGAAACTGTAAAGCCTATCTTTGAAATTACCAACTCATTCGTAGTTTGGCTCTTTATGAGAAAAAAAAAAAAAAATCACAAGCATTGAAGATATTTCAATCTTTAAGTGCGCTGATAATACCTGTTAACATGGGTACAAACTCCTAATACAGAAACACAATGGGTATAAACAGAATTCTGAACCAGAACAGCATTAGAAATGTAAACTACCAGCTCCAAATCCAACAGACACATTTGCCATCCTTACTTGTCCCATGCAGTACCAAATGAGAGCGATACCAGCTAGATCCAACTTAGTTCATTTTCGGACTCTGCACTCTGTCCCAAGAAGAAGTGAGGGCCCCATGGGCCAGAATAGAGAACAGAGCCAACACCAGTAAGGACAAAGGTGACTGCCTGCAGGGGGATGAAAAGATAGTGTTATTTGGGAACATATGAGGAGACAAATAGAAAAGATACAGGGTGGAAGCAGCAACACTTAACAGCAAGAAAAAGCTTAGAAAACATAGGTGTAGAAATCAAACATTCCTCTCTCATCCAGCACACTAAGAAAGGTAACGAGCTTATTCAGGGTGGATTCTTTCACCTTCTTAGGATGCATAAGGGACATGTCCTTTTATGAAAAACAAATGAACAGGACCCATCATCAGATCTGGTACAGCAAATCCTACGTGCAATTATCCTTCAAAATCAGTGCGGCATCCCGGTTAATCTGCAATGTGCAATCATTACAAATCTTCCTGTGCTCTTTGTTTTGGCTATAACAGGGCCTTCATGAATGGGCTGCTCACTGATTCATCAAGTCTAGTCTGTAACGTGCTATTTTTACTTTATTTTTAATAAAATAATTTGCTTTTTATCTAGAGATCGCCTTTCCAATCCGGCTCTGGCTCCTGACCTATGCTAAAGAACACGGGATCCACTAGAGGAAACATACAAAAAGAAGAAACAAAGGAAAAGTCTAAGGGTTCTTGAGGAAGGAAAAGTTAGCAGCAAGTGGGAGAAAATCAGCTCTACATGAGGCAGCTGTGGCCATACATTCCACCTCTGGGGGAAACTTGCCACCTCAAGTTTATTTTCTTTCAATTCCAAAAAACTTTTTGTGTATCAAGGAGCAACAGAGACTGCGCTCCCCGTAACAAGCAGGACAAAAGGTCCATTGTGATTTCAATTAAATTAGCAAATGGCAAAAAATTAAGCAACATTCCAAGCATTTTAGTGTGTTGCATGGGGCTACTTTCGGTGGATACGAACGCATGAAAAGGCCTTTCCAGCCTGAACCACTGGATGAATGCACAGGGTACTCTGTAATCATAAACCCTTGTGCTTCTGGCAGTGATGGGTGCAAAATCCAAGGCAAGCTTTTAGTAATGCTATTAATATGTTAATAGCTGCTGCCTAAAATGCACAGTGTATAAGAGCAGTTACAATCTACATTTAATAACACCTAATTCTTCACTATTTTAGCAGTCTTTGACCTATTTATTGATCTTCATAGTATCAAGATACACCAGCATTTGAGAGACAAGTTTTTCCTACTTCTTTCATGCACAGCTGGAGAACTGGATCTCTAGCATCTTGCCCTTACCCTGTACAGTCAGAACTGGTCTACAGTGAATAACAAGACTTCATAACTTCATGCTTGAGCTATGAATTCAACAGAAAACAAAACACGTGGTTTGACATTTTAAATAGTTTAATGTTTGGTAGAGTCTTGCATTAGTGGGAAAGAACAGTAACATCAACGTTATAATCACTGCTGCATTTCTTCATTCTTCATTTACTGGGGGGTCTTTTCTCTTGTCAGGAGAAACATCAGCTCCAGAGGGGTTAAGAGCAGTTTAAAAAAAAAACACAACAGCAGACAGGCTAGTACTGTTCTACAAAATGAAGTCATGTCCAGTGAATAGAGCTGATTAAGAATAAATGACAAACTGCTGGTAGCTTCTGTACACTGTCCCACACTAACAGTGTTACAATTTTAATGAGAGGTAAAACGAGTCTAAGAAGCACATACTACCCTTTTTTCTTCCCTAGGAATAAGAAAGTAGGTTCTACGCATTTAGATAGCAACTTTCCTCAAAGAGATTCATTGACATGTGATCAGATAAGTGTCTTAGATGAACAGGAGACATTGCTGTAAGGCTGAACAAGGACATTCTCAGTAAGAACTGGATAGGATCTAGATCTTGTTTCCACACAGCCCTGCCAGATTGCCAGATGTAACCATCCTTAAAATAAACTGCAAGATATACATCTCCCTCTTGACACCCCTATGTACAGCACTGCTACTGCAAGGAGCAAAGCTAACAAAGGTCACTTTCATATCTGAAACAAGGTTATATCTGCAGGAAGGTTACTGAACACAAGTTAAAGTCTGCACTTTGGAATGGAGATAGTATAGCATAGCAAAGTAAAACTCTCATGAATACATTTGTTTTTGTATTTTGCTTTAGGATAGAGAGCAACTGACAGGCAGAGAATTAAATAAAGATTAGTTACACAGAAAGCTTCCCTCCAATGAATCCCTTTTGACATGACACATAGAAGAAGGACACGGTAATGCATGTATAACACCTCTAGAACTCCATGCAAGTGATTTCTCAAAACCATTTAAATTTACTACTCACCCCCAAGATTCAGAAGCTCCCTCATGGTGGAGACAGAACCAATATATCAGTTATATAAAGCTAAGAAATACATTAGAACAAGACAGCATTATATATCTCCAAACCTTTGTATCCAGACAAAAGAAAAAAAAAGAAAAAAAAACCTTATCTGCTTATTTCACAAGCTTGCCACAGATTGCTAGAGATCATTCTATCATCTTTATGACATGCTAAAATAACCACTGATTGATTTCAGACTTCAAATTGGACTATAGAAGGAAAACCATATCAACAAACAAGGTAATGTTGGGAAACATAATAGAAACAAGGAGTTACATTAACTGCACAGACCAATGCATTCACTTTATACACCAAAAAAATATATATATATTTTATATCTGTATTATATATCTGTATATATCTGCATTGCAGACAACGTGCAATCATGTAGTCTGGGAATAAAAAAAAAAAAACAACCAAAAATCCTAAATACAGAGATGGACAGGAAATTTCTATGCAAATTCTGTAATACTTTCAAGGGATATAAAATGGTCAAGAGACAACTTGACCCTAAAACTGCACAATCAAGGCCAGCTGCAGAGTCCTCTTCTTTCCTTATTTTCATGGATATAGCAAAGAAGTGGAAACGTATTTACACATGATCTGCCTTCTAATTCCTAACCTTTTACTGAAGTGCAAGCATTTTATGTTTTGTACACAGATGCTAAAAGTACTCCTTACAGAGGATAAATCTCAAACTTGCTGAGCATAGAGGCAATGTGGGAAAGAAAAGCAAAGCAGAAGAAATAAGACAAACAGTTCTTAGAACAGAGTATCCCTTCACAAACTCTCCTTGCTTCTTCACAAATAATGCATTGGATTTCCATTTGAACAACCAAAAGCTTGAGCGCATATGACTTTTTTTTTTTTTGTATTTGGTGCCCAGTGTTTATCTGATTGCCTAAGATTTCATTTTCATGGTCCAGCTGCCTCTGTGCCAAGGTTTATCACTGCTGCTTTTGTGCCCATTTACTCAGGTTAACTTGGCATTTGTTTTCCTGCACACTGAAGAGTCACGGTGAGAAGCTCTGTCACATTTTGTTTCTTTTAAAGGGCGAGATGCTGAGTACCTGCCATCCACCCCCTCAGAACGGAGCTGTCAGTCACCTCATGCTCTCTTAGGATGTTTTTTTAAAGGATTCTTTTTTAAGGATTCATCTGCCATACCAAAATATAAATGGTTCATACAAATTTTGGAATTCAACAGAAATTTCCCTCAAACATTCGGAAGCATTCAGAAATAACTTACCCAAGAAAGATACCAGAACATAATAAGGAAGCAATGTTTCTGAGCACTCAGGACTGCCGCCCATCAAGACAGACGAGCATTTAAACATTATTCCATTTACTGGCCCTGCATCTTTTTATACTTTGGTTAAGTTAATGAAGACACTTAGAGGGAATGTGCAGCGAACACATACTGAAGCCACTGGGAAAACTTGTCTTGTAATGTAACTCTCATAGCCCAAGGATTGCAATGAAAGAAAAAACTTGTAGCATTTCCTTATCCACAGGTATTAAACTATAGTGAATGGCTATTAAATTATTTGCATCTCTAAAGTAATTCCCACATAGTTCACTAGCTGTTCAGCTTCTCTACAGCACTACTGACAGCGCTTTACATTTTTTTTGTGTCTTTTTTTGGGTATGGGAAAAAAAGAATGGGAATAGAATAAAACTCAAGCAATTGATCATCACAATAGACAAAACCATTCAGTCTGTTTACAATGAAGTAGAAATCTCAAATACAAATAGCCTTAGTTTAAAAAACAACAAACAACAGCATTCAATGAAGGTAAAAAGTAAATACTTTTTAATATGTACTTAAGTCACAGTATTTGTTTTGAGACCTTTACACCAGGTGACATTTTCATTGCATTCTCAAAGTATTTTCTAAGAGCCTGTCTAAATACTGAAGGGGCAGACCTTAACTAAGGGAAAACAAAAACTGTGCTGACAAACATAAAGCTAATGATCAGCATTCTTTCCACTCATTTATATCAATGTTTGTACAAGTATTTTCCAAAATTTAAAAGCCATCATAATAAACAAATGAAATCACACATTTCTTTGTTTTGTTTTTTTTTTGTTTTGTTTTCTTTTTGCAGACCTTACCTGACGTCAGTACAATGTAATCATCATCTAATCTTACACATTTTAGCTTTAGGTCATTTTCACTTCCTGTATCATTGTGGCAAAAAAAAAAAAAAAAAAAAAAAAAAAAAAAAAAA